TATTATTTTAACATTTCGGTCCAGTTTCGTCTGGAATGCATCCCAGACCACCTCCTGAAGTGGTTTGAGCGACCGGAATTATATCCGTCTCGAATGCGTTTCGGAGGGCATTTACACCTGGTCTTTTCACGATCGGATAGCTATCTGATCAGACAAAACGCATGAAGTGACCAGGTGTAAACAGCCCCTTTATGAAACAAACCAATCAAACAGGTGCAGACACTAATCAAATCAATGAGTAACTAAGATAAACTATTTGCGGGTAAGTAGGAACACAGGAAACTAGGTCAAACGACATACATATACAGAACATACATGTGAGAGATGCATTGTAAAGTTTGATTAATTCTTGTGAATTGTTCGCAGTGGTCCTCCTTCACATATCATTTGAGGGAATCTGTTCATCCAGAAATGAACAGATTCACAAAAATGATTCACCAATTCGAGTTGTTGTGCTAGGTTTCCGACATAGTTATGTAAGTTATTGTTATTGTACCAGGAATATATATTTTAGTGTAGCTACTTTTAAAAACAGAAGCTTGACTGAAGTTTAATTGCTTCATACTATGATTATCTTGTAGCTTGCAAGTTGCTGCCCCAACACTGGTATTATCTAGATTTTCTTGGCATTTACATTTTGTAAAGATGATCATGCCAGTTAATAACAGTACTTAATTGACAGGAATCTGAAAATGCACAAGCTTCATGAAAGCCCATAAATGTAAGTACAGAAGAAGTGAACTGAAATAGTAGAAGGTACTTCACAACAGGGAGCAGTTAATTGGCAATATGTAAGCCTGTAATTTCCTAAGCATGCATCTCTGGAATAACAGTCGCTGTATATCTTCTCTGGTTTAAAACATGACTTTAAAGGGGTCATATGATGAGATTTAAATTTTTCCTTTCTCTTTGGAGTGTTACAAGCTCTTGGTGCATAAAGAAGATCTGTAAAGTTTCAAAGACTAAAGTCTCAAATCCAAAGAGATATTCTTTATAAAAGTTAAGAGTCAACCACGCCTACCTAAAACGGCTCGTTCTAACACTCCCCCACATGTCTACGTCACGATGTGGGAAGATTTGCATAACGCCGCCCAAATGTTCACGCAAAGAAAGAAGGCGTAACTTTTATTCTCACTGTAGTATTGTTGTTGCCACCGATGCCATGTTGGGAAGGCGCTGTGTGTTTCGTTGTGAAAGCGAAACTACTTTTGTTTGGTCTTCCAAAAGAGGACGATATCCTCTTCATCAAGCCTGGAGCTGATCCGTGCTGGTCGCTGAGGAAATACATCAACTTCGCGCTGTGGATCGCCGGATCGGTTTTCACCGTGGACGAAGCGGAGTCCTGCCCAGGGTCGTCACATGTGGTTGCCGCAAGCCCGCCGGACGCTCCTTCGTCGAATCCGCCGGCCGCAGCGTTCTCAAGCCCGCCCGCCGCAGCTCATTCAAGCCGGCCTCCGCCCACTCTAGGCCTCCGCCCTCCGCTCACTCTAGCCTGCCATGTGTTTTGTTGTGAAACTACTTTGTTTGGCCTTCCAAAAGAGGACACAACTAGAAATCAGTGGTTAAGTTATATTTACAACACTGTTCCAAAACAGTTCAACCCAAATATTCAGATGTGTCCAGTGCATTTTATGGAGGACTGTTTCCTGATCCTGGGATAGTAGACTACAATGCCGGCTGTTCTGACTCA